CTTACAACCTGGCCCCTCTTTTCCACAGCTCCCAATTGTGGGAGGTGGGCATCAGGGTGGGAGCCTGGGAGTGAGAGGAGGACAGAGCCCCCACCTTGGTGCTCCTGGGTGGTCCTCTCTCCAGGCCCCAGGCCCCAAGGTGCAAGGTGAGGCTGTTCAGAGTGAAAAGGAAACCCCTCTAATTGGGGGCAATGTGAGCAGCACCCTGGCAAGCAGGGCCCCCATTACCAGCCCAGCCACATTGCCACCAACCTACTTGCTTTCCATTGCTAAGGAGAACACATTATGAAGTAGACAAATTCCCATAAGAAAATGGTATTTCCCTCAGGGTAGCTGGGCCAGTTGCTATTTTCATGGGCATGTAGATTATGTGGAGGACACTGCCCGTCCTGACCAGAGGAGGAGAGGCTGTCTCAGCTCAGGTCATCCTACTGACCAGGAGATTTGGGCTCTGCTGGAACCAAGGACTCAAAATGGATGTGGAGATTCAAGGTCAGGGCCTGCTGATGCTAAGACACTGAGGAGGTTCCCCGCTGGCATGAGCCAGAGCTAAAGGTTCTGCCAGGCTGAACACGAGTGGCTGTGGCCAGAACAGGGCATGTGGGACCAGCTCTCTCCTAGATGGGCCAGGCTGCTGTGAAGGAAAGGGTCTGCATGAATGGGAGATGTGCAGCTCTTTGGGCACTTAATGATCACAACATGGCAGAGGAGGCCTTAGACAGTGATGGCCAATGGGCCAGGAGACAGCCAGGCGTGGCAGGAGAGGCAGGCGGAGACCACGTGGGAACTCTCTGTGAGCCCCAACAACCCAGCTCAAGAGAAGGGTGGTAGATTAGTGGCAATAAATGCCACCTGCCTCCCAGCCTACGAGCACAGGAAAGATGGTGGCCATCAGAACTTGTAAAGCAAGAAAGGGGCTTAGATGGCAGGTGGCTATGAGGAGGAGGCAAGGCCAGGGTTGCCTGAGAGGCCAGCAGAGAGCAGGGGGCAGGCAAGGGCCAGACGCCCTCCTCCCCAAGTGGAAGCTGTAGCTTAGAAGGCACTAGCAGCAGAATCAGCTGAGGAGGGCAGGAATGGCGATGCCTCATTCCCTGTCGTCTGGCACTCAGGGGGCCTCGTTGGACCCCATCCCGTTGCCTTTGTTGACATAGAATGGCCGGTAGTGAGACTGTGGAAGAAACAAGAGTAGTTATGGAGGACAGATAGCAGCCACGCGCCGGCCAGACCCACCCTACCCTATCTTCTTCCCGAGAGGCAGCAGTGTTCTGAACCCAACAGTTCCAGGGACCTTATGATTAAGTTTGTCCCTGATGGCCTAGTGGTAAGAAGCTGCACTGCAATCCCAAAAGCACATGGTTTGAATTCACCAGCTGCTCCCTGAGAGAAAAATAGGCAGTTTCCTCCCATGTGATTAACTGCCTCTAAAAAACCCACTGGAGGGTCAGCTATGGGTCGATTCTGACCTAATGGCACACAATCACAACCGTGATCAGAATTCTGGGCTCAAATTCTAATCTCCCATCAACTTCCTCTCTATGGCCCAGTAAGACCATCCCAGCACCACCATGTTGTTACTGTGATTGTTGCTACTGGCTGTTGAGTCGGCCTCTGCTCGTGGAGACTCCACAAACAACGATGTGAAATGCTGTCCTACCCGCACCCCTCCCAACCCCACCTCCTGTAACGGTGTGGAATGCTGTCCTGCCCGGTGCTCGACCTGGGATTGGTTGCAGTGTGGACCAGTGTGACTGTAGGACTTTCCTTCACTGATCTGCAGAAGTAGATCACCAGGTCTTTACTCCTGATCTGTTTTAGCCAGGACACTACTGAAACTGTAGCATCACCATGACCTGCAAGCCTCCAACGACAGATCTCCTGAGGCACACAGCCGGGAGAACCTGGGTCTCCTGCGTGGAAGGTAAGAATTCTACCACTGAACCACCACTGCCTTTAGAGGCTTCATACAGTCAACAGGACAGCGCAGCTCTGCTCCAAGCATTTTGTATATAAGGACTCGTTTGATTATTACAGCTATCCAGCGAGGCAGGCTGCTATTAGCTCATCCATTTCATAGTTGAGCAAACCAAGGCACAGAGAGGCTAAATAACTTGGACAAGGTCACTCAGCTACAAGGAGAAGAGCCTCTGAGGTTGAGAGCCTGAGTCCACACACTCCCCCAGATCTCATCACTTCTTGAGTCTTTGAGGCATCGCCAGGTTTATACCTGCTCTCTGTAGTTCTTTCTCTCTGACAGAGAGGGACTCTGGGCCCCTCCCGCCAGCCCCTCACCTCACTCATCTGGCCTGATCAGTATTCACTGAGCGTCTCCAGGACAGAGCCAGCGACAACCTCCCCAGCCATCTCTGTGTATTACATCTCGCACATGATTTCACAAAATCAGCGTTCCCCTGCCTCCCAATCACTTCATCAGGACCCCGAGAAATTGGCCCTCCAGGCGGAACTGCAAGAGCAAGCCCAAGCCGTGGCTGGCCCAGGAAAGCATCCTCCTGGGGTCCCAGAAAGTGGATCCCTCCCTGAACTGGGTCAAAGAGGCTGACCCCTGCCCCACCCCACCCCACCTCACACTAAGACACCCTTTCCATCCACATCAGGGTGCCCACAGCTCTGTCCTTGTCCCTGTCCACCCAAGAAGTCACTCGGCTCTTCACCTAAGCCTGGTGCCAGAGGAGGACCCAGCATCGGCAGAATGTTGGGGCTGAGAGCTCTTAGCTCAGGGCTTGGTTTAATGGAATGAATGGAGAACCTGAGACCCAGAAAGGGTGAAAGACAAAGTCAAACAGCCACGGAGTGGCCATGCTCTGCCACACCTCACCCCTCAAAGGCATGATGAACTGGCACCCAGGCTCTGGGGAGGTGGAAGGTACCTGATAGGAGGCGAATGATCAAGCCCAAGAATGGAAACCTTTTTGCTCTCCATATCTGCATTTTGCAGCCCTGCTGTTGCAATGCCCTTGGGCCTAACTCCAAATTACACACACCATCACTTAGCTCCCATCACGAGCAAATTAAAGATTCTCTCCAATTAACCAGCCCAGCCACTCTTTGTGGCCAAGAGCTAATCACTTCCTCACGCTGGCCTCTGTGTGCAAACAGCGGGGAGCAGGAGTCAGCTGCACCCCATTCCAGGGCAGCTGCCTGGTCCTTCAGGGAAATAGAGGCACAGTCTGGGAGTGGCAGTCACTAGGGTCTCTGACAAGGGCCAGGCATGTCAGAGCTAAAGGGATTAGTCAAAGCCATACCAGCGGTCAGCGCCTCAGCTCTGGCTCTTGTATGTCAGAGTAAACTGTGCTCCTTAAAACTTTCAATGCTGTGATCTTTCTGAAGGAATCTGCCAAGCCTGTATTCCAAAGTGCCTCTAAGGAGACTCGAACCACAAACCCTTTAGTTAGTAGTCAAGTGTGTGCACTTCCAGGGACTCCCAAACATGTCAAGGTGATTCCTACTCATGGAGGCACAAAGAAGATTGTTGTTAGGTGCCATTGAGTCAACTACAGCTCATTGTGACCCTCTGGACAACAGCTGACAACCTTGCCCTCCTCGGCTGCTCTGTCCTCACGATCTGACAACATGCCCAAAGTGTGTGAGGCCATCTTTCACCGCCCTCACCTCTAAGGAGCAACTTGGTTGTGCTTTCTTGAAGGCAGATCAGTCTGTTCTTTTGGTGATCCACACAATATTCAAGATCATCTAATCCAAGCATCTGAGACCCCACAGCTGGCTGGTGGTGGTGACCGTGACCCTCAAGATACCCCAGCCAGCAGGAACCTAAGAACGCCAAGTCCAGACTGCCCTGCCATGCTGTGCTTTGATGCTGCCATGCTGTGAAACCACTGGCTTCCAGTCATTAGCAGATCCCAGCTGTTATCTCCTAACTGCCCAACCTCCCTTGCCCTCCCCGTGCTATCTCTAGTTTGAGAGTTAGAGAGAGTTGTCCCAGGGAAGGGGAGACTCTGGTCCCTGGACTGAGCACACTACCACCCCAGAGCTGCCAGGGACCAAGCAACCATTCAAATAAGCCAAGGGGTTCAACAATCCCTTGCCAAAATAAAATCCCAGGGCTGCTCACGTTACAGATTAGAAAATTGAGGCCCCCAACAGCGTGAGCTTACTAGATCCCTAACTATTAGCCCTACCTAGGTCTCTACTACTACTTGTTGCTGTGTGCAGCTATTCCTGCCATATTGCCTCCTTGCCCAGCCCCAACACCCAGAGAAGTCCACACCCACCACCCTGTGGGAAGTGGAGGCTGGCTGTCCCTCATGAAGCCAGTCTGTGCCCTGCTTTCTGGATGTGCCCGTGTCCCAGAGGCTCTTACCCAGCCTCTCACTCACCAGCAGAGTCTGTTTGCCAGATTTCCACGTCTGAGGCTGGGCCTTGGGGCTCTGGCTCCGCATGAGGGAGGGGTAGCCTGCGGAGACAAGAGGTGCAGGTTGGCTGGGTCTCAGGGCCTGGCCAGCCTCCTTCTTCCACGTGACCACTAAGCTTTGTCCAGCCAATTAACAAATCCGCCACCCTGAAGGGGCGTGCAGCAGCCAGGCCCAGGCGATGGCATCAAGCTCCTGGAGAGCTGGCCAGAGGGCAGAAGCACCCAAGAGACAGAAGAAGAGGGAGCAGGCCAGGAGAGTGAGGCCAGGCAGCTGGGAGTGGGGCTCAAACCCAGGTCAGGATCTCTCTGGATCTGCAGGGATTCCACCACACCCCCTACAGGAAGATGCTACCATGGCTCCCCTACCAGCACCGAGGGGAGCCACGAGCTGTTGAGACTCCAGCCAGGGACACTTGCTGTCCTTTAAGGCCCTGTGCTGGGCACGCAATTCCTCCCTGCCCACAGAGCCCACTGGTGCTGAGTCCTGTGCTTAGGGCACCGGTCCCCCTGTTCTCCCCTCACCGACTTCTGTGCATGGGAGAACAGAGTTGCACAGTCATCAAGGAGCAGTAAAGACTGGAACCAGGTTTTGCCCTTTCAACTCCAAACCCCTATTCACGCTCCTCTGCTCAGGTGTGCTGCCTCTCCTACCAGCAGGACACTGGGGCCTAGAAAGGGGCTGTCATTTGCCAGTGTGACTGCAGCCCTCAGTGGGAACAGTAAACCCCAGAGGCTGGGGCGCATGGGCACCCTGGTGCGATCCTGAAGGTGCACCCCTTCTCACTCTTCCCCTCAGTGTCCAGAGCCCAAAAGGAGCTCCAGCCTGCAAGGCAGAACTCTGCCCCTGGAATTGTAAGAGTGAAATGCACTGACACCAGTCTCCAGCCACGTGGACACACAGAGCAGAGGCAGGTGTGACTGGTTCCTGACTAGGGCAGACTGGGTGGCTCAGGAGAGGGACCACTGCCTTCAAGGTCAAGGCCACCCTGGAGGGAAGCCCTGTCACCAGAGCCCCTGGAGCCTGCCAGTATCAGCTGAGCCAGCCTACCCCCTGGGCTGGCACTTAGCAAGAGGGCAGAGGAAGACAGAGCAGATCACAGATCACCCAGTCTCTGCCACCATTTGGGGTGCAGCAGCCAGCTTGGAAAAAATGTTCCATGGATCCTGAGGAGATGGGGTGAGAGGGGGATACAGACCTCACCTCTCAGTTCTCTGAAAGAAAGCCCCATACCAGGTGAGGACAAGGCTGGGGGAGGGGCACGGTCCAGGATATAGGAGGGGGAAGGGGTGGTGGATGAGAACATGCACCCCTCTGCCAGGGAGTTCTAGGGAGAGGGGACCCGGACACCCTAGAAGTGGTAGGGAGCTCCCACAGCACATCCAGCCTGCCCCACTGTGGGAGGGAAGAGGGTAGAATGGAAAACAGGCAGGTACCAGGATTGTTTTTAAACAGACCACTGCTGTCCAATGGTTTGGAAAACTCTGATGTGGCCTGTCTCAGGGTGGTGAACTGATAAGGGGCTTTCCCAGTGCCTGCTGGGAGAGAGAGAGGCATTAGCACCCTGGCCTGGCCCCCATGGGGCTGTGAAGGAGAGGACAGGGCAGGGTCTTCGCCCAGGGCTGCCTGGAACTCATGAGTGCATCAGTCCCTGCTGGGGGACACTCCCTGCACACAGGGCACCCTGCCCAGAATCCCCTCTCCCAGAGCCACTAACAAATGTGATTACAGGGTCCCTACACTACTACCCCTAGAGGAAGTGCATGGAGAAGGCCAAGGCCATGGACAGTGAAATGTTGTCTACACAGGCTAGTGGGGACCCATTTGGAAGGATAAAAGCTCTGAATTCCTTGTCAGGTGGCCACTGGCCTTATATAGTGGCGGGCCTTTGGTCCAGACTCTACCAAGGAGAAAGGAGGAATCTTCTGCAAGTCCAAAGTCAAGGTAAGTCCCAGAGCTCCCCAGGCTGCCTCAGGGATAGGACACCCGGGGTTCTATGGGATGGACCTTCTAGGCACAGTCCTCCTCCTTCATCTGATTGTTGTTGTTGTTGTTGTTGTTATTGTTGTTAGATGCCATCGGAGGGACTACGACTCATAGTGTACAAAAATAGATTGGAAATTTGCCATCCTACACCAGCCTCACAATCTCCAACACGTTTGATCCTCTTACATTGTGTCAGCCTCTCTTGTTGAGGGTCACCCTTACTGATGATGTTGTTGTTACTGTGTGCCATTGAATTGCCACCAACCCATAGCTGACCCTCCAGAGGGTTTTCAGAGGCAGTTAATCGCATGGCAGGAGATTGCCCATCCTTCTCCTGCAGAGCAGCTGATGGATTAGAACCGCGTGCCTTCAGAATCGCAACACAGCTTCTTGTCACTAGGACACCAGTGCTCCCCTATCCTTACTGATAAGATCAGAAATTCTCAGCTCAGGATATTTTCTGGAACCCTAACCAGAGCAGCTGAGGAGATGACCCGGGTGTGTCTCCCTGAACAGGCCTCTCCATTACACCATTTTCTCCCCTGCCCACCCACTACCAGCTGCGAATCCTTCCAGACTGAACGTCCTGGGACCAGGAGAGATGGGGTTCTTCCCAGAACACCACACCTACTCTGTAGGGTCTGATTCAAGTCTGGCCACTCACTCAGCATGATCCCAGTGGACAGGAGCATTACCCAAAGGGCGTTGTCAACAAGCTGGGGGTTGAGGAGGGCAAGGTGGGCAGGGGCCAGGGTAGAAGGAAAGAAGAATCAGGTTCTGGAGGCCTCAGAGGCCCTGGCAGCCAGCCTTTCTCAGAGGACTCAAGGACTCCAGCTCTGGGGGACATTGGTGGGTGTTTTTACATAACAAGGGGGGGGGGTGTTCATTGGTCATTATTGGGATTCACTGGACATAGTTAGACTTTCTGGAGCAGAAGATCCAGCATGTAAACCTGACAGAGCATCCTGAAGGTCTCCAGGGCTGAGAGGTGAGGGTGCTGTTTCCTCGCCACATAGACCAGTGTTCTTTCATTCTAGAGCATCTCTAGAAAGCAGCGTGTAGTGAACAAGCCAGGAGAAGCCTTGTATGGCCTAAGCCGCCCACCCAGCCCTCCTTTCACAGTAAAGACCATGAGCACCAACGTGTGACTGACTTCCCAAGGTCCATCCCAGCCACACCAGGCTCAGCCTCCTGGCCCCGCCTCGCTCCTGTGCAGGGAGAAACATGGCGGCTGAGGGAGCAGCACCATGGCAGGGGACCTTCCACTGGGGGAAGAAAGCAGAGCTGGGACCAGGCGAGTGGCTGGGGAGGGGGGTCTCACCTTTCAGGGAGAAGGAGGAGCTGCCCTGGATCGTGGGCATGTCGTCCGAGTTCTGGATGGTGGAGGAGTACTCCCAGACCCGGGAGGTGTAGTTACCTGGTGGGAAGAGGAAGGGGTCAGACTAGGGCTGCCTGGCACAGAGGCAGGGGTCACTGCGTGACTCTCAAGTCCCTGAGTGGGCCTTCATCCCCCACATGCCTCCCTTCAATCCTTCCTACCATCCAAGGTGCCTTTCCACAATCACAGTCTATGTATTTTGTCATGAAATAGAATGTCTCCTCATGTCCCCGTCCTACCTACAGTTGCACAGTCCTCAGAAGGAGGTACAAAGTTCTTAGCATGAATCACAGGCCTTTGATGACCTGCTGGTCCGTGTCATCCACAGCATCATCGCCACTTGACGTTCCCCTCACACCCCGGCCCTTCCACCATGTCACTGGACAAGCACGTCCAGGTCGAGCTCTCAGTGCCCTGATACACCGGGGTCCCCTGTCCAGCTTCTGCACAACCAGGGCCCTTAGTCTCAGGTAGTCTACCTCCTCCCACCCTTAGAAAATTTTCTCAGGGGACACCTCCCCTAGTCTGTGTGTGCCTCAGTCAGATGGCCTGCACTGCCCTGTCCTTCCCTTGGCATGGCCTTTGCCCTCTTCCCTCTGGGTCGGGGTTGCAGGCTGTCTCCCCTGGGCTGTGACTCCGTGAGGCAGGAAATGTGCCTGTCTCGCCCGGCATCACAGTCGGTTCCTGGCACTGAGCCTGGCTGCTCAGAGGTGCTCATTGTATAGTTGACGGATGAATGAATGAACAAATGAACAAACAACATAAGCACGCCCTAAGCACTGGGGACAGAGGCAGCGGATATAGCTCCTGGCATCTGTTTGCCAAGTCTAATAGGCTGACAAATGTCCACTTGTAGAATGGGTCCCATAGGCTAGGGGAGAAAGGAGAGTGTAGGAGGACATGGCCGACTATAGGGACACTGAGAGCACACTGGAAAGGGGCTTCGACACCCCCACACATAATGGATACACAAGGACATCCATTAAGTCCCCCTCCTCCTGGCAGGCTGGGGGCTGCCCACAGTATCGCAGGCCTCACATCACAGCAGTGCCCCAACCCTGGTGGTCCCCTGTGGTCAGTGGAGGCTTGGGTTGTCCGGTGCCTTCACGGATCCCTCCTACAAAGGTCTCAGGAAGACCCTCAAGAGTACGTACGTCCACCCAAGGGTCTGAGGGCTTACTCCTTCCCTTTCATTTGTCTATGTATTTGCCCTTTCTTACTTTCAGTAGTGGTAGTGGTGATGGTGATGGTGGTGGTGGTGGTGGTGGTGTTAGGTGCAATCAAGTAGAGTCTGACTCACAGTGACCCTATGAACAGATGACCTGAACCCTGCCCTATCCTGTGCCACCCTCATCATCTCTAACACACTAGAGCCCATTGCCGAAGTCACCGTGTCAATCCATTTTGCAAGGCGTCTTCCTCTCCTTCACTGACCCTCCATCTTTCCAAGCATGATGTCCTATTCGAAGAAACAGCCTAGCTACATTCTTAAAGGATGAGAGATGAAGTTTTGCCATCTTTGTCTCCAAGAAGTACTCTGGCTGCACTTTTGCCAAGACATATCTGTCTGTTCTTTTGGTAGTACATAGGCTACTCAGCACCATTCTCCAGCACTATAATTCAAAGGCATCAATTCTTTTCCTGTCATCTTTACTCACTGTCCAGCTCTCTGATGCACAGTAAGTTATTGAGAAGACTGTGGCCTGCATCAGGTACATCTTAGTTTTCAAAGTGACATCATTGCTCGTCAACATTTTGGAGCTATGAGTGCTTCCTATATGTTCCCTGCTGTTCCACTCTGGGCACGGGGTATGGAACAGGACTGGTGGTTCCTGCCCTGGTGGGGCTCAAGTCCACTGGGTATGTGGATAAGAGGGCAGCAGTTGTGACAGCTGACCAACAGTCTGGACACAGATGCTTGGGCACTGCCCTGCTCACTGGGCAGTCCTGTCCCTCTGCTCTCTGTGAGCTGTACCCTCACTGTAGAGGCCTCCCACTGTCCGCTCACCCATGCTGACCTTCCCAGGTCTCTGTGCAGTGGGAGCTGTGAAGTCTGTGGTCACCAGGCTGCACAGTGTTCTCACTTCCTGCCCAGGGTGCGCACCCAGGGGACTGCAGAACCTGGGGTCACCAAGTGCATGGTCCTGTCTTCAGATCCAGAGGTTCCCCCAGTGCACTGGGCAAAAGGTGTGGGCAGCTGTCCCTGAAGAGCTCCCTTCCTCACCTCCAACTCACTTCCAGGCCATGTGACTCACCCATGTCCTAGTGTGATCACACCACCTGGTGGCCCATTGTATATCATGTCCTCCTGTCCATATGCACCTCAAATGATTGGCTTTAATCCCTGCATGACTTTTTTTTTAATAATATTTTAATTTATTTATTTTTCATTTCAATGAACATCTACAGAGATTTTGGAATTCCATTCATTCATTGTTGCACCCTTCTCCCCACCCACCCCAACTCACCCCCTATCCCGTTTGCTTCTCTCCTTGAAAAGCAAAAGAAAAACTCCCTCATTGGTACACAATCCCCCCTGCACCTCCCCCAATCCCACCCCCAACCCCAGAGTGGATTATATTTGGGGTTTGCATGACTTTTTAAATCAGTTAAGATGCTCTTGGCACCTGGAGACTCGCTGGGGTATGTGCCCACATCCAACCTCATAACCATCACAACTTTCCCCATGTAGGTGAGATGTTAGTAAAATAATTGCATAACTTTGCCAAAGTTAACATCTCTATGGCCTATTCATTCAAACAGGATGCGTCCATCCCTGGCTCATGCTTTAGGGGGAGAAGATCACGTGGACTCAGGAATTTACCAGGGTCTCTTTTCCTCCAGCCTAATGATGCCTCACAGGCACCATATATCCTGCTTTAAGCTCAGGATGAATTTTGCCACCCAGCTCTGGGCCTCCAATCCCACTCCAGCACCTCAGCTTCCCACATTCATTTCACGTTGGGTCACCTCCTCCTTGCTGCCTGGCCCAGACCTGGCCACCCATCCCCGCGCTGCCCTCTGCTGCATCGTCCATCAGGGGGCTCTGTTCACTCTTGAGTTGAGCCTCTTCTTACCTTTGGTGCCATAGAGATTGTTGAAGTTCTTCAGATTGGTCTCCTTGGAGAGACGGTTGGGGGACGACGGCTGGTATGATGTCCGGGCTCCACCTGTGAGGTGACAAGAGGGGTCTGTCATTGCAGAAAGGGGATCTGTCTCAGCTCAGAGACTCAGTGGTGATATGCAGGATGCTTCGTCCCAAACAGCTCCCCAGCTGCCTGTCACAGGACCTGGCTTCCACTATGGAAAGGGGAAGGTGATCACTTCAGTTTGTGAGTCAAAGGTAAGGCAATTACCTAAGTTTGCATGGAAATCAGGACACCTGTTAGGGTGGAAGAGTGCCATTAATAGGTACACCAAGAGCAAAGGTATAAACCAGGGGGGCCCAGGTAAATTACCACATATGGTTATGCTACCTCAGGCCTTTGTGGTCATCAAAAGGCTGAACAGTCAGCCACCTCCCCCCCATAGCAGCCATCCTTGGTGGGGAGGGCTCACAGCTATCTGGGAAAGCCTGTATGTAAACGAAACCCAGGAGATGTGGAATGGGAGCTCCTGACAAGGAAAGGTCAGTGGCGACCACAGGGGGATGAGGCCCGGCCACGTGATGGCGTGCGGTCTGGAGGTGGCCGATGGGCAGCTCCCTCATGCACACACAGCTGCCATGATGTGGCTATTGTTCACTTCATGGCTCAGAGCCTCCCACAGCAGAGGGCTTTCTCTCCCTGACCCCCTGGCCCTGACAGCAGTCCTGTAATTAAGGCAGAGAGGTGTCAAGATCCCACATTACAGATGAGGAAAGGAGCTTCTAGGTCCTTCTAGCAAGTCTTCCCTCCTTGGCTAGCCCTTAGACATGGTTCTCACCCATTAGTCCTAGCACCAGCCAGTTTCTCCTACACACCTTTGGGCCTTAAGTTTCTTTACCTCCGTGCCCTCTTCTACCACAGCTCTGTGTCCTTCCTCACATGCCTGCTTCCACCCCACTCCTGGGTCCTCTACCGGAGCCCTGGGTCATCCACAGGTCATGTTCTTTCTTCTGAGTACTCGGCCTCTCTTTCAGGGAACCTCGTTGTTCAACCCCAGAACTCCCAGACTTGGGCACCCAATGGCCGGTAGTGGCCTAGTCCCCTCGTCTCCCCTCAGGCCTTCCCTTGCCTCTCCCTGAGCCTGGGAGCTCCCTGAGGGCAGATCTCCTCCTCTTCTCCTCGGCACCCACAGCACTTGGAGCAGGGACACCAGATGAACCTGTTTTCTTCCACCTACAAATGTCACAGACTGACTCACCCAGCCTGACAAAGCTCGAAGGGCTCCTAGGCATTTGAGTTAAGCCTCCCCTCTTCTCAGATGGGCCACTGAGGCCAGAGAAGGATGGCCAGCCGAAGGCCATCTGGGCCCACAGACTCTCAGGTGACATCTGGCTGTGCATTCCACTCTTCACCCCACATCTGTTTAGCTGTCTCCCCTCTCCCCACCATCCTTACTCCCCCAATTGATCAGAAAACTCAGTGCCACCTTAGAGGGTGTGCTGAAAGAAGGGAGAGTCAGAACCAGGCCAGGAGGTCTCAAAGGAGAGGGACAAAGGAGGGGCGTCTTCTTGATGCCGGTCACCTCTCAGTCAGGTTCAAAGGAACAGAACTCCAGCACAGAAGTGGGCAGGACTGGCTGACTGGGGCCCAGCCTGAGCCAAGAGTGTGGAGATGGGGCACACAGCTGCTGCCTCAGACCTCAGCAAGAAGCCCAGGTGTTGTTTTCAAATTGGGTGGGGTGACAGGAAGTTCCTCTCAGCTGAGTTCATCTCTCCAAATCCCCTTGCACCCTCCCTTTGTTTTCTCCCCCCAAATTCCTCACTCTCCCCACTCCACAAGCCCATACCTGTGCACACAGCTCCCCCATCCCTGCTGTGTCCAAGGGCTGGCCAGCAGGCGCACCCCTTATGTATGGGCATTGTTGTGGCTTGTGGGCTGGTGCCAAGGAATGTGACAGGTTACCACTGGGCAAGAACAGGCAGGCACTGGTCCTCCAGGACACCACAGCAAGGCGGGGACTGTGTGAGGGAGTTCTGGGGGGGGACAGGCTGTGGCTTCGGTACAGCAGGAGCACAGCGGGGAAATCTGTCACTTTCCTGCTGTGAATAGACCAGTGGGTTTGGGGAGACAAGCTTCCCACAGGGGCTCAAGACCCACAAAAAATTAAATGGCAACCAAACACAACTCAAGCTACAGGCAGACAGAAGTCAATAGAAAGAAAAGCAATGTGTGGGGTGGAGGAAAGGATGTAGGAGGAGGGCCCCATCCCAGGGAGTGGAGACCCTGAGGAGCCGGGGAGCTGACTTGTCACCAGTACAGCAGGTGTTTGACAGGACATCCCTGGGTCACCTGGCTAAGGAGGAGCCTGGATGAAAGAGGCTCCATGGATGCCAGAGCCCTTCAGAAGGAAGAGGGTATCAAGCCTGGGCAAGGAAAGCCACAGCTCTTACCCTTGGGCGTGAGGTACATGGAGTATCTCTTCATGGTGTCCGGGGCGCTCCACTCAGTCCCATAGCTGTTTGTGTAGTTGTTCATATAACGATGGTCACCACCTGGGAAGGAGAGGGGTCGGGTCAGCAGAGAGAGGAGCAGGAAGGATGTGGCCCAAAGGAACATCCCTGGGCTCAGCTGGGTCAGCCCATGACTTGCTCTGTCCCCTGGACAACCAAAGTTTCCTGGCCCCACGTACAGAATGCTCCTCTCAGCACCTACTGCAGCTGGGGGTGGGCGAGAGGATCTGCAGTGAGCAGGCTCCTTGAAATTAAAACACATGGCAAGCACTCTGCAGTTCACAGGTACTGCCAACATCCACTGCTTCAGTCATCTGTCCACCAGGTCTTGGGTAGGTGTGACAATCCCCATGTGACAGATGAGGACATGGAGACCCAGGAAAATAGTGAAGCCACTTGCCCAATGTCTTATGGCTCATAATGAAAGAGCTAGGATTTGAACCCTGGTCTCCGGCTCTGGCTCAGTTGCAGCCACTGCTGGCAGCCTGAAGTAGAAGAGCACAGGCTCAGCTATGACCTCTATGATCCAGGGTTCCAGCCAGCTAAGCCAGGCCTTGCTCAGCAGAAGTTCAGATCTGTGAGCCCAGGAAGGGACCATGGAAAGGAGGAATCACAGACTCCTCCCTGCCCAAATCAGCTGTACCCACCAGCAGACTCCACAACCCAAGTCTATGGCTTGATGATAACTCCCCCTGGCTAACCTCCTCCCCATTCCTTTCTCTTTCTACTTCCCCATCTTCCACTTCCCTCTTCTGAGAAAAAGAAGGACTGAGTGGCTCAGACTCCCTATCACCTGTGCCTGGCAGGGGGCCTGACACACAGTAAGCACTAAAGGAACAACAAAATGCCCCTTACTCGAGCCCAGTATTGGGTCTGATGCCTCTGAGCTCCTGGACTTTGGAGGCTGTCCCTGGTCTGGTGGGAGGACCGTCAACAGGGAGGAGAGGATGGTCTCTTAGAGGTGTGACTCATCGTCTACCCATCCCCAGCCTCCCACAGCCAAGCACACTCCCAAAAACAAGGCAGTGGTGACAGGAGCCTCCCTGTGGCCCCGGGCACAGGTGCAGGGCCACTGACATCAGCAGTGCACTCCCTGCTTCTCATCATCTCTGTGCTGCACACCTTGTACGGGCCTCCAGGGCCACACCTGCACAGAGGCCGAGGCAGCATAGCTGTGACCCAGAAATGGGCCAAAGCAAGGCCAGGAAGCTGGACTGACCGTGCAAGGCTTCCCCACCCATTAAGGTCATCCTCACGAATCAGGCCACATCTGGGCTGAGGGTTTCCCCTGCCAGGTGTGTACCTCAGAGGTGACAACAATCACAAGCCCCAGGCCCACCATCAGCTACTTCTCACATCAGAAGGCACAGAAGGCTGAAGGGGAAAGTCTTAAACTAGCAGCATCACCTCCTTAGCTGTGTACCCTTTGAAAAGGTCTTTCTCTGAGCCTCAACCTTCTCATCTGTGAAATGCAATACACTCCAGAAGTGTTGTCAGGGAAATGCAATAATGAAAGGAAAAATCTCAGAGTAACACCAGGCATGAGGGGTGTTCAATCAATGTCAGCATCGCCATCATGGTGATAGTCATGGGGAGGCCTTCAGCAGGCAGTGCCAATAGAAAGCCAAATAATCGTCTTGCTAGTAAACGGTTTGTCTGCCCTTAGTTGCGCTTGAGCAGGGGAGCTGCATTTCACAGGGCACGGCGTGACATCATCACCTTGACAAAGAGATGCTCCTACCATTTCCCGCTGCTCCCCTAAAAGTCATGGGCCCCATTCAGACAATGTAGAGGTCTCTTCTTTTTGGACTGTTTCTGGCTAGAAGTCATTAACTAGATGACATCCCCAAGGCTGTCAGAGAGCCACACCACTGTGTCAGCATGGGGTGATCCAGGGTTACTAGGTGGGGACTTGGGGAAAGTGCCCAGACTTCAGGATCTAAAGAAACTGGATTGTGACAGGTGTTAAAGGGACTCAACAGGGTAGTGACTCAAGTTAGAAGACTCTGTAAGATGATTCAATCAATCCTGCCAGGGGACATCATGACTCAGGAGAGAAGCTGATTGCAAGAGAATGCGTGAGTCACAGAGGTGCTGGATCCCACCATTTCAAGTCCAGGCTCTGGGCCAGCACTGCTCAGCATGGCCATGGTGATTGATTGTTAAGTCCCACCTCTAGCCATAGATTGTCTTGAGTTATGTCTATTTGAATTTCCAAAACCACCCTTAAGGCTTTGGCCCTTAAGAGCTATAGTGTCCATACAGTGCTAGATTGGTTGACAGGCCCTGATTCTTAGTTCAATGCAGCCTTAAGTGTGTGAGTAGATGTCAGATGGAAGGGTGACGGACAGCACAGGAGAGGAAGACTCCAGATGAGATGGGTTGATACAGTAACTGGAGCAATTGGGGCTGGTGTGTCAGAATTAGTGAGACTGGCTCAGGACAGGTCATGGTTCAGAGTTGCTGTACATAGGGTCACTATGGGTCACAGGTGACTCGACAGCACATAACAACAACACCACCAGGCAGATGGAATGGACCTGGGAGAAAAAAACCTGTTGCCTCAAGACCCACTCCCAAGAGGGGACCTACCGTTTTCCATGTGGTTCCTCTCGATGAAGTTGCGGCTCAGATCGGCTTTGCACATCTTCTCAACGTGACGCATGCACACGTTCAATAGGTCATCCTTGAAGTTGCCCAGTGACTGCCCCAAGCCCTCCCCCTCCAGCAGAACATGGTAGGTGGGCAGGGGTGGAGGGAGGGAGTAATTGCTCATCAGTGCACCAAATTCCTACCGAGAAAGGAAGAAGTCATTAACTTCCTGAGCCTTGAGAAGCTGCATACACCCTCTCTGCAAGAGTCTGGGTTCTAGCTCTCGTGCTGTTATTAACTATACTTTCCCCCTTGAGGATTAGCTTTCTCTGGAAAGTGAAAGGGTTTGATTTGACTAAAACATACTAGATGCTAACACCCCTGATGGTACAAGTATTCATATGATTCCATGTTTCCTACCCTCCCACACTGGGGGTTGAAGGAGAATGACACAGCTAGGAAGACTTAGTAGAAACACTCAAGAACTACTCCCAAGCCTGAGAGTCATGGTGGTGTTTCCACATTTAGCTGCCACACACAACCTGCCTTGATGCCTTTGCATCTTGTGCTGAGAATTCCTCTTTCAAATCCTGACTGGCCTTCAAGACCTAATTTAAATTCCTCCTCTACAAAGTTGTTCTGTATCATTCCAGCCTGCTGGCCCTTCTCTGTGCTTCCATAAACACTTATCTCCGGAACTATTACATTTTATCATTTAATTACACACTCTTCTTTATTGTTCTCTAATTGTACGTGTCTTATCTTCCCAGCTGGATTGTAGCTCCTTAGGGGTACAAACCATGTCTTGTGTTTCTCTATTCTCTACAGCACCTAATAGAATGTTGAACATACACAGTGGTGCCCTAAGGCCTGTAGGATGAAGATGGATGAATGAGTAAACTAACAGGCCAAGGATAACAGAGGTGCACCACTCATCTGCCCGAGTTACCATTCATATCCAAAGCAGGCATCACTAACATAACAACTCAATGGTACATAACACCAACATGGACCTTTTCCTTGCTAAACCTAGACTACTGTAGGTACACATCAATCTAAGTCAGTAGAAGCTATATTAGTCTGTTATGTTCAGACTATTATTAGATGTTGTTGAGTAGAATATGACTCATAATGACCATATGAATAACCAATCAGAGCCTTGTGTTATCCTGAACCATCATCATGGTCTCTACCATGCCCACTGTTGCAGTCACTATGTCAATCCATCTCATTGGAGGTCATCTTCTCATTCAATGACCCTCCACCTTTTCCAGCATTATGTCTTTTCCCAGGGACAGCATGCCCAAAGTACGGGAGGTGCAGTTTCACCGTCCTTGATCTGAGGAGCACCCTGGTTGCCCTTCCTCCAAGGCAGATTTGTTTGTTTCTTTTGACAATTTATGGCACATTCAAGAACTTTGGAGGAGAAATGGACTCTTAGACTATGTAGTGGAATAGTTGGCGTAGGAAAGCAGATAGATGGAATTTAAGAACCAGTGGGCTGGATGATGGAATAGGCTTGGGTGGATAAGTGGGTGGATGGGTGAGGGCATTGGGAAGTGGATGGGAAGACTGAGGGTCTGACTGGCAATGAAGCTGCCTGGTACCTGGAGAAACAGCACCGAGTCACTGATGCTGTGCAGCTGCTCTCGGGTCTGCTTGTCTTCGTGTAGTATCTTTGCCCTTTCGTCCAGGGCATCCACGATCACCTTCACTTGATCCACAGCATCCTGCTCCCGCTGCTCCAGGGCAGCCCTCACTTCTTCTTTCTGCTTCTCCAGGTCCCGCACCAGGTCCCGGAAGTTCTGCTCCAGGATGGCCTTCTCATTGGTGGTGAAGCTCTAGATCCAGGATCAGGGAAGAGAGGAAGGAGAGGTCAGTAGGAACAAAACTTCCCTAGTAAGGCATGTGTTTAGGCTCCCAAGAAAGTGTCAGGCCATCTCCCCTGAACCAATCTGGCAGAGTGGCTTGCCAAGAACCTTCCTCTGACTCAAAGGGATCATGGAGAGGTGCCATCTACTGATAAAGATAGTACCCCCTTTTTTTCCAGTTTATTCTTCTTTATCTACATTGGAAGATTGGCATGATCCATCAATTCAACCTCTGGGTTACCCCCAGTGGGCCCAAAAAATCTTCCACAAGTCAAAGTTAAAACCAGTGATCATCAGGTCAACTCCAAGTCTAAGAGCCCCAAGTGGTCCAGAGTAACTGTGCCTCACAGGGTTTTAATTATTGTGACTTTCCAGAGCTAGATCATCAGACCGTTCTTCCAAGGTGCCTCTGGGTAGATTCTAACCCCCACACCTACAGTTATCAGCTAAGTGTGTTAATTATTTACATCACTCTGGGACTCCAATGAGTCGGGACATGTGCACTGAAATCTCAAACGTCATTTAGGAAGAGAATCAGCTAGGAGTTTATGCTCCACAGTCAAGAGTGGGTGACTTCAGCTTGTGGTTTGCAATTACTCAGACCATACCCAACATACATCCAACCACATTGGCACAAGCAGGGAAGAAACAGCAAGTATTTGAGGGCAGGAGGAGGTGTGTGTTTAAGCAGAGGAGACACTGATGGGCACTGGAAGCCACACTGGAGAACATAGCAATCTGGGGTTCTTATTTGCCAGAATGATGTAAAATGAGCAGAGGGTGGTAAGAAAGAGCTCACTCGAGTACTTGGCCCAGACTTAGAAGGGGACTTGGTGGGAATTACAAGGAACTGGGGAGCCCAGAAAAGTAAGGGGGCATAAACACAGGCCTGAGAACACCAATGGGAGCCAGCACCCAGATCCTCTGAAGCCTGGGCAGGCCTGGGGAAGGGAGGATGCAGTGAGGCGGGGTCTGGAGGACACTCACCTTGATGCGGTCCTTCTCCTTCTGCCACTTCTCCGCTTCATCCTCAATCTCAATGATCTTGAGCTGCAGCTGCTCCTTCTGCAGTGATAACTCCGTCTGCAGGGAAAGGTCAGGTGGTGGCAGGAGAGTGAGAGAGCAGGAAGTGAGAAAGATGCAGAGAGTCCGAGATGGCCCACCCAGGGAGCAAACTCTGGGGCAGGGCTCATCACTCACACATTCACTCCTTCAGTCAATAAATGTTCATGAGGACTGGGACGTGCCAGGCACTGTGCCAGCCACCATAGATACAGCAACCAGAACCAAAACACCATCTCTCCAGACCCACAGGCCTCTCGGAAAGACACCAAGTCATGTCTGTAAAGGCTAAACCTCTGCCTACCTCCACCCAGCATGAGCAGGTAGGAAGCTTATTTATAGAACTCTTGCTTCTCTAGATAGACTTAGGGCCACTCAAGAAAACAAACAAAGCTCCTGCTTCTTTCAATCTAAGAGGATGGAGAGGACCTAGCTCGGCCCGGCCCAGCCCAGCCCAGGGAGTGCCTCATGACAATAACTGTAAGCAACGTTTCTGAAGCATGACGTGGGGCCCGTGGAGCAGGCAGGAGCTGCGGTTGCCACTGGCCTGGGCTCTGTCTGGGCAGGCACAGCTATAAACCTGTTTATGAGAAAGTGAATGTATTTTGCCGTTTTGACGAGCTAGGGCTTTTTACTTCAGGAGCTGTGGGAGAGGAGAGAAGCTAGAGTTAGGCTGCGGAGGGCAGAAGAGAGGTTCCAAGGATCTCCTCTCAGAAGAGGATGGGTGCTGTTGGGGCTTAGGGATTGTGGAAGAGGACCTATCAGTGTGCTTAAGCTCTAATGTGGATAGTTTACTTCCATTTGGGGAAATACTCTTCTTTGAAAAGCAGCACAACAGAGGAGAAAAGGGGCGGTGGGTGGACATAGAGCTAAGGCCCAGTCAGATTCAGCTAAGCAAGAGGAACCTCCTTCATCCTTCTGGGCTCCCCTTTGGGCACTCAAAGCATCTTCCAGAGTGGAAAACACTTCCATGTGATTGCCATGAAGACCAGAGCATGCAGGGAGGTCTTGGCTCATAGTCTCCTCAAGTGTTTTTGCATTTTGAAAGCAGAACCCCACCCTTTCCGCAGCTGCCTCCTTGAGGAACCCACATTACTGTGAAGATGAGAACCCACAAGCCACTAGGAATGTGAGCTCCATCAATAAGCAGTCACAGCACCTTTGAGAACCAAAGTCCAGGGGGCCCTGATGGATATGATGTGTATGTTGTAGATGACCAAGGCAGGGGTCTGGTGCTTCACGAGCTTCTCTGGCTGTCTTGGCAATGGTGTCAAGAGAACTGGGGAGCTGGTGGAAAAAGGTAAGGAAGGCAGAGGGCGGGAGCCCCTGAGCTTTCCAGACGGAGCCTCTGATGTCACATCCCTCTTCCTCTGCCTACACTCCCAGGCTCTCCAGGCATCTGTCTGGCCAACAATGGACTGGAAATTCCATGACACAGAAAATGTGATCATCCCAGATGAGCGATGGTTATCAAGGACAGGAATAAACAGAGCTGGGAATGGAGATTTGGCCTGGTCTCTGGAAAAGGCAGGAGAGAAGTCAGCTGTCACCATGAGGGAGGAAAAAAAGTCCCCACTGTAGATGGTAAGAGACTCACAGAGATCACAGAGCCCGAGAGCCCAAAAGACAAAGGTCCAGGAAGCTGAGGAAGACTTTGCCTGCTAGCAGGATCCCAGATGTGAGAAAGAGATTAAGAGAAGAGGCTAAACAATGCATCCCAGCCTTGCAGAACTGGGCTGAGCCTGAGGATGAAGGAAGAGGTAAAATGTCACATCCACTCCAGCCGAGACTTCCTAACACCAGCTAGGGCTGGAGGAACTGGCACTGCTGTTCCTCATGCTCACCTCACCACCTCTGAACAACAGCGCATCCCCTCACACTCTCCTGTCCACCTTCACTCCCACCCAGGCCCAGGCCCAAGTCAGGAAGAGCCTTACTCACACGTGGGGAAAGCCCAGCACTTCCACAAAACAAGCAACAAGGCTTCCAGGAAGAAGCTTCCAACCCCACACAAGACTATCACCACCTAAAAGTCACATGACTGTCCCTGAGTGGCTGCCTTCTCTACCTCAGGATCTCCATCTGCTACGTGGAGACCTGGCCCTGTCTACCAGAGCATTGAGGAGATAAACTGAGATATGGAAGCCCAGGTCCTAGAATGCACCTGACACTGGGAGGGGAGAGGTGCTGACAGACACTGGACGCTGTCACCATTGTCTGTGGACACCTCCATGGACTGGTGGCCATGCTGGATGTTTCCTCCCACATTGTACTCGGTCACAGGGAGGGTAGTAAGCAGAGACCATGTCACAGATAAGTGAGGGGAGAGAGCAGATGTGACCAGGGGAAGTGATGAGGACAGTGTGGTCGTGGCATCAGGGCCTGTGTGCACTAAATACACCATTTGGAGAGCTAGAAGTTGTAGAACAAAGAGAAAACACAGAGACAAAAGGGTTAAATGGAAACTTAGACCATAAATCACTGGAGAATAGAGATTAAACAGAGTTGGGGTGAGAGGAGCTTGACCAGAGAAGCTGAGAGTCAGATAAACGGATGTCCAAGGGTATGTTGTGATGAGTCTGGGCGGGGCCTACAGGTGAGGAGAGGTTTACTCAGGTAAACCCAGATTTGTTGGCAGAAAGAGTGACAGAGGGTATTAAGGAAGAGAATTAAGGGTACTAAGAAAGATATTAAGAGATAGAAAACCTAACAGGGTTTTAGAACAATGAGGAACCTGGGCGTAGAACAGGCAGGGAGGAGAGAGAGCTGGGGAGCCACACCAGAGTGAGAAAGAGCAGAGGTGTCAGCCAGGGACCTGGGTGAGGGGGGGAGGGAGAGGTGGTTGATCTGGAAATGTGTGAGGGCAGGGTCAGCAGTGGAGACAGGCTGTCTGCAGCAGTGGGCGGAGAAGGACAGCAGGGTGGAGGAGAGGGGAGCCCTCCTTCCTTCTCCAGGGCACTAGGGAAGTCAGCAGGGACTGGGAGGGGGCCTTGCAAAACTAGACTTGCAGGACACAGCAGAATCTTAGATGGGAAGCCCAGGTGCTGTTCAAACGGTCTTCTCCCACCTCTGGGATGAGTCTACTACTGTCTGGAAAGAAGGATTGGGGCAGGACCTCTGGGGTTGCACCCCGCATCTGTTCAGCTCTTGATACTTTCCCCTGCTCCATGGTAGGGCTGCAGAGAGCTGACTGGATACAGAAAACAACAGCATGAGAGGTCCCAGAGGTGCTGGGCTCTCCTGTAAGGAGAAGGAGAAGCTTTCCTTTTTTATTATTGAGCATCTACTGTATGTCAGGCATGGTCTCCTTTACTCTCCTAAGACTCCTGGTAAAGGTAAGTAGCATTGTTCCCATTTGACAGATGTGGAGAATGAGGCCTTGAAAGATTACACCCCATGCCTGAGTTCTCACAGCTAGAAATCCATAAAGGCCAACATCTAATAACTAGAATTAGATCGTAGCCTGTGGTGGCTTAAACTCCAGGCTATGTCTCTGTGTTCCACAACCCATTTTTTTTCTTTTTAATCCTGTTAACTTAAGCCTATCTGGCTGCCCCTCACCTCACAGATGCTTCAGCTGGATGATTCTTTCTCTTTCCCTATTACCCTCCACACCTTTCCTCATAGATCCTAAGGCTGGGTTTTCTAATTAGTTTTCTCTCTCACTTTTGGAATCTGATTGAAACCCCTGGAATAGGAGTGGGGTATCAAGTTCCCACAGCACTTCTGCCCACATCGGTCTCCCTGTGACTTCCTCCTCCTCCCATGGCATTCCCTTCTCCCTGCCCAGGCCTGTCCCTAAATGTTCCCTTTGTTCCAGTCTTCCATTCTGATGCCTGAGACAGGCCCAGCATGGGCCACCCAGCCTCCAGAGAGAAAGATTCCCTGAGGACAGAGGGGCAGCTCAGCAGTTAGTGCTGCCTCAGCCTGACTGGGATCTTCATCAGATAGACACACACACCCCCCTGAGTGGTCACCTGGATGTGTGTGCAGGCCTGGCCTCCAGAGACAGGGAGATGGGGCTATGATCTTCCCCAAGCCTGAATTACCCACATGGGCTGTTGACTGTGACATTTGCCAAATGAGCCAGTTAATTGCCAAATTTGTACTCTCAGACAAATGATAATTATTCTGGATAAGAATCTGAAAGGCTGGATAGATTTCATCGTTTCCACCCAGATGTCAATCAGCCCGGCATCAGTTAGTCAGATTGGAGTCAGTCCAGGAGGGGACAAGTAGGGGTGGCCCCTAAACCAGTAGGACTCTCCATGGAGCTTGGTCTCCTCATGATGAGACGGGGCTAGATTTCTGATTTTCAAGCTAGTTACTCCTCAGAAACCCCTAACGAGACATAAAAATCCCAATCTTGGGCTGGCTCTGACCTTCTTGTTTTAACAATTCACTAGGTGGTTCCAATGTAGCCAGCTCATTTCTGGCTTGAGGATTAATGTTTGGGGACCACTGGACTTGATGGCTTCAAGGAGACCTTCCAGTCCAACACCCCCTCCCCCAAATAGGTTTAAAATGGTGGAAAACAAACAACCTGGGCTTTGGCCAGAACGACAGGCTCGATGTGAATCCCAGCTCTGCTACTCCCTACTTCTGCAGCCTTAGGTAAGCTACTTGGCATCATTGAGCCTGTTTCTTCATCTATACAAGGGGTGCAATAACACTCACCCCACAGCACTGTTGTGAGCAGTAAGTGGGACAACATGCAAGCCCCTCACCAGGCATCTTATGTGCTCACTCTGTCTCCTGACCTTTTCTCCCCTGTTTCCTGACTGTAAATTCCCAAAATGAGTCTGATTTTTTTGTTGTTGTGAATGCACACCCCTATCCCTGCCATAATTCACTGCATCTCCACCTCCTTTCTTACCCTATCACTGTTGTCCATAAGCTCTGGGGCATGTGTCCCAGCCCCCTTCACATGCCCATAGGCCCTAGAGCCTGGCTCCTTCTCCTGAATTCCATTCTGACAATCTACCCACAAAGAGCAATCCTGCCCAGACCAGTACAGCTTAGAACACTCAAGACCAGAGGCTGCCCAGGACTTGTAGCCAGTGGTTCCACCTCTGCGGGACAGCCAGGCAACAAGGTGAGAAGCATAGTCCCCAGGCAGGGAGAGAGAAAGGAGCTGAGCCAGAGGGTAACGAAGGGTAACCAAGAGTGGACGAGATACTCTGCAGAGCTGAGAGCTCTCTCCCAGCAAGGCTCATGGCTGGTGTCGCTCATCACATACCTGCCAGTCTGCCAACCTAGAGCCCAGGAGGGACGGGGGCCAGGCCAGGGCTGCCAGTAGGTGGGTGCACAAACCAAGCAGGCCACCTGAGAGAAGTCCTAACACGCTGGCCTGCTGGAGCAGGAGGGATTTGGGACAGACAGAAGGATGATGTGACAGAGAAAGGGATGACTATATAAATCTCAATCTCATCAACCTCTTCTAACCAGGGAAACAGAGGGGTGGACTAAATTATATCTACAGGACCTCTTGGGAGATTAGGGTGGGATTGGAAACACTGTGACCTGAGATGTCCATTTGACCGTGCCCTGTGGTCCAACAGCCCAGAGGCGAGTACAACAGCCCTGGGCATCAGCTGCATCCTGCAACTAACCAGGATAGGTCAACTTTTACTTCACCTGGGCCTTCACTAGCAGGTCACAGAACAGGTTCTGAAGAGAGCTCCTTACAAAAAGCCGTGCGTGGGCTGATGTTTGGGTCTGGAGGAGATACCGCCAAAGATGGCAGGACTGACAAGCTCATTCTGTTTGGTTCATCAACCCACTAACCTTGCCCTGTGCCAAGGCCCCCTATGTCTGACATTCCAGCAATGCCAGGCCTGGACCAATTGCTCAGCTCCATCTCAACTTCCTTGTGTCTCTACATCCCTCTTACCTGCCTCCCTACAACCACAAGCATGGGTATTTGGGTGCGTACACACACACACGCACACACAAGGCCTGAAGTCTCTACCATGAAGAACCTTCCCAGGGACCAGGGTATTTTTTGTCCCCTGAAACTTCTGCTGAGGCAAACATACCCCGAGTCCCAGCCCCTCAGCACCCTTCTTTAGGCTCTCAAACACGGAAAGAAGTCTTAAGAGGCTTTTTCCTCAAATCCTAGACTCTTGGATGGATTGGTCCCTCCCTTTGGAATCCCATCCTGAAAGGTAAAGGAGGAGACAGACGATGCTGCTTATATTCCTATCTGATGTTTTGATACAGTTGCTTCTGCATAACTGGGCGTAGGCTCCCAGTTTTGCTTGTGCAGCTCAGTGCTGCCGGCTGACCTACATTTAGACACCCCACAAGCACTACATCTTTGTTGCCTATGGTGGTCCCAGACCAGAATAAACTCTGGGCAACTCCAGAGAGAGCTGCTTGAGGCCCTCTGCCCCACCAGCCCCACAGCTCCTCCAGCAGCTCCAGAGTTGTTCTGAAGGGATGATAAATCTATCTCAGATAAAATATTGGGCTCACCCCAGTGGGTTTTTTTAATTAAAAACGAGGTAAACAAAATCATATTCTGTTTGGTAGATCCTTCTTAGCACCTCTCGCACTCTTCTCCTTACTCCTTGAGTTTCAAAAACATTCCTAAGACTCTCAGAGTCCACAGGGTTTGGGGAAAACCACCTTATCTAGCCCAATCTCTGGTTGTTTTGTTTGGCTTTTTTTTTCTTCCATAGGAATAGAGCAAGCTAAGAGAACAGAAGAACTTAGTTATAGTATCACAGTTAACTAGAGGCCAAAACCAAGACTGGAATTAAAATTTCCAAGCAGCACTAGTGGTGCATAGGTTAAGCATTGGTAGATAACTGGAAAGGCTGGTGGTTCAAACCTACCCAGAAGTTCCATGGGAGAAAAACCTGGCAGTAGTGATTTCAGCCAAGTAAACCACATGGGGCAGCCCCACTGTCTCATGGGGTCACTTTGAGTAGGAATTGACTCAACACCTCCCAATAACAACAAAACTCAGTCTGAGACTTGATTATGCTGGATGACAAGACTCCCACAGTTCCAAGGAGGCTCCCTGGGGTTGGGGTCAATGTCCCTGCCACATTTCTCTGTCCCTGGAGGAGGAGCTTCAGGTGAGGCATAGGAGGAGACCTGAAACACCTTCTGCCTGGACCTAACAGGGCTGCAGAGAAGGCTCTTGGAGTGGGTTTCCATATCTAACTCCTTCTCTGCCCAAGGGTGTGGCAAGGAGTGCAGGGGGTAGGTACCAACAAGTTCCCGGGCAGGAGGGCTGGGCAAGGAAGGAGTGCTATGACACCTAGACTAAGGAGCTGTTGAGGAACATCAGGCCCCCTCTACCCACTGCAAGGAAGGTTTGCCTCAGGGGAGACCGCCCATATCAGGGAGTTTCAGAGCTGTGGGCGAGAGCGAACCCAGCGTCTGTGGGGCAAGGGGCGCCAGACACAGCTGGGCCCTCAATCCAAACACCTCTCCAGGTGTACTGCTCACAAGTCCCCACACGCCCCTGCTCAATCCCATGCGGGCACCAGCAGAAGCACACAGAGGGCACGCAAAGGTGCATGTCTTCAGATCAAGGCAAGCATCCACATATGCACATAAACATTCACACGTGTACATAAAACACATGAATCCATTCCCCGCACAGAGACCCCAGCCGTCACTGATAATGTCCATCTACAGGCACAGCTGCATCCACAAGGCAACTGCATACAGGGAGCCACCAAAAAGCCTCAGGACTGCAAATAGAGACTCTGAAGACAGCAGAAAGGGCAATTTCAACGGCCAGAATGCTCCTTCTCCTCCCGTCTACCCTCACCCATGACCCACTCGCTCCCTTTGGGCCACGCTTGCTAAAGTAGGACAGGTCCCTCTCCCTAAAACAATCCAAAAAAGACTGTCCCAGCCCAGCACTGAGTGCTATCTCATGGAGTCATATTCTCTGATCTAAGGTGACCTTGGTCAAGCCCCCAAGTTTTTCTGAGCTCCAACGTGCTCACCTAGGAAAGGACCCTTTCTCCTAAGGCCTCTGAGAGGCCCCTTCTGTACCCAGCCTGAGGTGTGAAGGGAACAGGAGGGTTATGAAAAGGAGCCAGGGGCAAGTTCTAACAGGAATTAGCCCTGGGAAGAAGGTCAGGGCTGGAGGGGGCCCCCCAGCTACCTCCTTCTCAGCCTTGGCCTCCTCCACTGTCACGGTGCTGTGGTTCTTGTGCTCCTGGAACATGCACAGGTAGCAGATGCACGTCTGGTCCGTCTGGCAGAAGAGCTCCATGGTCTTGCCGTGCAGTGGGCACTTGCGGGCCTCGAAGTCTCGGATGGGCTCGAGCAGCTGGTGGTCGCGGAAGGCGGCGCTCTCCAGATGGGGCTTGAGGTGCAGCTCGCAGAAGGAGGCCTGGCACACCAGGCACGACTTGACGGCCTTCTGCTTATTGCCGATGCAGGAATCGCACAGCACCTCCTCAGAGGCCGCCTTGGCGCGCAGGAGTCCGGCACCACTGTCGGTCCGGGGGTAGCTGTTGCGCCTCACATCCCCCGGTTCCATAATGGACACGGTGGGCTTCCGGGGCTCCGAGAAGATGGACTTGCGCAGCTCGCCCTTGTCTGCAAAGGTGACTGGCGGCTTCTTGGCGGCCCCCAGCTGCAGCCCCGCGTAGGGGGACCTCTTTCCTTCCGCAGAGTCCATGCTGAAGTAGTTGGAGCCCTTGTCATCCACAGACTCCACAAACTGGATGATGGGTCTCCGCCACTCGTTCCCGGAGAACAGAGAGCCCTTCCCTTCCCCCGACTTCAGGGCGCTGCCCAGATTCTTGCCCTCAGCCACCTCCCCGCCATGCCCATTGGTGGCCTTGGCCTCCTTGGCCTCAGGCTTGGCCCCGTTCTCCAAGCCCCCGTTGGTGCCTGGTGGGCTGCGGGCGTCCCTGGCTTCTGGACTGGCTCCGTTGCTCCTGGAGGCGTCTGGAGATTCCATGGTGGGTCACAGTGGGCTGGTGGGTGTCAGACGTGCAGGGGCTTCGGGTGGGTGACTTGTCGGGCGTGCGTCCTGGTGCAGAGTGGGGCGCAGCTGCGGAGCCTAGAGACACACCTGTGGGGCAGGGAGGAGCGAGGAGGGAGGAGCGCGGAGCAGTCCTGGCCAAAGGGACCAGGAGAGGAGAGGCGGGCAGCCCTGCAGCCAGCAGAGCGCTAATTATACGAAGCCCACGCCCTGCACATTCATACCTAACCTGGTTTTTTAAAGAAGTGTTTTTTTCGCCTTCAGTTTGATTGTTTTCCACAACTCAGCAACCAGTTAGGCTGCTTCTATCTGACGCACTGGCTCCTGGTGAGGGAAGCTGGACCCGCTGTCTTCCCAGGAAGGCAGGCTTTGTCCAGCGGGGGGGGGGGGGGGGGGCGCGCGGTGGGGGGGGGGGGGGGCACGGGACAGAAGGGCTGTTAATCAGGTCACACACACGCCGGCCACATCGCCTTGTAATTTTAATCTCAGAGAAAAGTTTTCCCACCGTGGGACATGGACTTGATTTTCACCTTGAGGGATATGACAGCTATAGTTTGGAGTGAATTACCGAAGCTTGTTCTCAGTACTTTACAGATACCACCTCCTTTAATCCACACTACAGTCTTCCCAGTTTTTCCTATTTACTAGATAAGAAAGCAGGAGTCCTAAGAAACTACATACTGTTTTAACTGGTGGAGCTGAGTTTTGAGCTCAAAGCTCTTGAGATTCCAAAATCCCTCCTTTTGTAGGTGAGGGCATCACAGGGTGACCTGAATATCTCCCCAGAAGATGACTGCAGAAAGTCATTCCTGTCCCAATAGTCCTCACACAATGCATACTAGCTTATTTCTCTACCAGTAGCCAGGACTTGTTAGACTCAAAGGACAGGAAAAGGTCTTTCAAGTAATGAAGGGTCAGGTGGTTGGGTCCTTAGAGTCCAAACACTTTACTCTCAGCTATCTTTGTAGTAGGTTTGCTGTGTGGCTCAGAAAAAGTATGCACACCCTCTCTGAGCCACAGGTTGGCATTACAATTGTTGCCAGTTGCTGTCAGTTCAGCTGTTGTCATGGCAACCCTGTATACAGTGGACCCAAAGACTGCCTGGTCCTGCAGCATGCCCAAGATTGGCTGTGAAGTGGACCGTTGTGAGCCATAGGGTTTTCATCATCTGAAAGTTAGATGTAGAACACCAGGTCTCTCTTCCTATTTGGTCTTAGCCTGAAAACGCTACTGAAGTCTGTTCAGCTTCATACCAAATGCAAGTCTCCACCAAAAGATGAGTGCTGGCTACACATAAGGTTCATTGGCCAAGAATTGAACTGGAGTCTCTAGCAAAGAGAACTTTACCACTGAGCCGCCAGTTACCCTCCTGGGACACAGATAATTCCTTCTAGAAGGAAACCAGTGAAGCAAGGGCCTCAGAAAAATCTCTGAAGTAAGCAACTCAAATATGACTGTCATGGAAATGCAGACTTCACACAGAGCAAGGAGGAAAAACTGCTCCAGGTCCTTTCTTTCCTCAACTCCCTGCAGAAACACTAGCTTCTCAGTTCCTACCGTGCTGTGCCTTCTGGCCACCCCCTAGGCCACACACACTGTCATGGTCCCAGTGAGTCCCACATCTACCCCCAGCCCACCTGCCAGTTAAACAGTTGCTCCTCTGACAACCTGGGCTGAAACAGCTGAGCAAAAGTAGGTGTGGCTGGTGTGGCTGGTTCTGTGCTGTGCAAGGGAAGTGGGTTTCTCCCCTCGAATCCAGGCCAAGCTCTGGGAGCCCTGCCCCTTTGACTCGCTGTGCTAAACAGCTAATCCTTTGCAATAACAGCCCTTGGGAATAAGGGCAGAGCCAAGCATGGTTCACAAAGCAGCCCAGAGTTTTAAGAGAAGGTGTGTGGGGGTGGTGGTTGGGTAGGGAGTGCTGGCTTCATGATGCAGACTCCCCTTGCACCTGACAGCTTGGTTCTCAGGCCCCCTCTGCTTGAATTCACTGGTGAGTTGTCTATGATTCTCTAGAATACAAATCTATTCTTAAAATCCAGGACTAAAGGGTGAGGTAGAAAGATAATTTTGTCACACTCTGATGGATAAGAGAGCCTTCTTTCCCCAGTCAGGACATAGTCTCTGAGAACAGTCTATGAGGGAGAAAGAGCAGAGAGAAAAAGAACAAACAAAGGAGGGGAACTCGGGTTTTGGTAATGGAGCCAATATTAATGTAGCTTGAACATGGGATTCTGTGCGGGGACGCCTCAGCTATCATAGTTCATATACCTACTTTCTAGGAATTAAGGAAGATTCTGAGTTTTAGGAATAGATTGACACAAAGTTGCTCAGAAAACCCGTGAGGATGGATAGAATAAAACCTAAGTGACTAGATCTCCCTTTTTCATTGTCTTTGCATCAGAACCAACTCATAGCTGACCGAACAGTGGGTTTTCAAAAGCTATAAACCCACTGGCCTGAATTTGAGGGTAAGTAGAAGAAATCCACTCCCTACACACATCCCCTTCCTATAAATAGCCCATTTTTCTGCCTAAACACAACTGTTGGGTTTGAACCTCTTGCCTTTGAGTTGGCAACAGAACTCCTTAGTCACTATACCACCAGAGTTTCCCAGGTGACTATAAGTGTGGAAAATTGATAAATGGATGGATAATAGGTGTGAACACTAGATGGGTAGGTGGATAATGAATGGATCCATAGATAGTTGGAAAATTGGGTAAAAACTAAGGGAGGGAGACAAGGAGGGATGTAGGGAGGAAAAGAAGATGAGATGTTAAGAAAGGGAAAGAAAAAGGAGGAAAGAGGATAATGACTAGGTAGCAGATAAATGAATGGATATAATGCTACAATGGTGAAAAGTTTGAGAACTGGCTTTTCAGGGAGAAAAAAAAAAGACAAGTTCATAATGTTTGCCAATTCCTGTGGTGTAAATGCTCTGGGAATTGGGCTACCACTGTGAGGTGTGCTGGAAAGAAAGACACACAGTGGGCTTTCCCAATGTGATGGAAGCCAGCTCCAGCTCACCACTGGAAGAATGGTGGATGGAGGGAGTGTGCAAGTGACTCTAAGTCACCCTGAGGGGGGTACCAGGTTCAAATTGCTCCAAACAAATGGGAAGACAAGCCTACTCTATCTCTTCTGCTGGGTTTCCCCTGTGCTCCAAGCTTAAAGGAATGGTTCCTTCCTCTGAAGCTGTGTAACATCCAGTCTAACCTACTCTGGAGGGAGATCTAGTGGCTTAGTAGTAAGGAACTGCACTGCCAACACCAGGTCCACCAGCTATTCTGCCAGAAGAAAAAAAAGGCTCATTTCCTCCCAGGTAATTTACTGCCTCTGAAAATTCACTGGAGGGTCAATTATAAGTCAGTTCCAACTCTACAGTACACAACCATAACAAAACTACTCTGAAGGCGTTCAACTCAGATCGCCTAATGTTGATCATTCGCCTCATTCACACATTAACCGTACATTCTCTTTTGTGCCAGGTACTAAGCCAGGAACTGATCACAAAGTGAAGACTAAATCCCAAGCCTTGTTCTCGGGAAGCTCACAGTCTAGTGGGGAACAGATCAGCAAGTAAATTATTTTAATTTGTTTAGTGCACAGTAAATGAGGGGAGCTGGAGTGACCCAGGGAAGGTGGACGAGGACCTCCTGAGGGAAGCCTGTCTCCCCAGCCAAGCTGGGTGCTGCTCACGTTCCATGCACCATGGCATCTTCCCCAGCCTGTTTTGTTTCCATTCAAGGAGCACTAATTCAGCTGCATTTTCAGCCAGTGCTGGGTGACTGGTCTTTTGGATTTCCTGTGCCTTGCCCATGGCTACTTCCTCCTTTGTGGGCTGCCCCCTCTAGAAGTCTGGTGAAAAGACTAGCCTGGGACCCCAGCCTCAAATATGTTAAAAGGTCTTGAAAATGTGGAAACGTGGACAAAATCATCCTTCCTGGGCTGGCGACCACCTCCATTCCCACAAGCTCTCCTGGAGCTACTCTACAGTGGGGAGGGCTCTTATCTGCCCAGCACTGAAATTTAGGGTGAACACTAGTTTTCACCCCAAGTAGAGACCAGCATTCCAGAGCTCCCATAGTCCCCCACATCCTGAGTCCCATCTATTCTCCACCCTAAATCTAATTGTAAAAGTTCCACAAGAGGGAATTTCCTGACAACCTATATTTTATGTGCAAATTAGCCAAAAGTACCCAAAAGTCAACACATCCATCCACCATTATGACCAATGGAAGGCCTCAAAGCAGAGGAGATGCATCCTTTTTAAAGGCCTGGAAAGAGTGGTCTCATAAATCTTCTCAGATACTCAGGGCCCATCTTACACTGTTCTCCTCCTGATCTTATAAAACTTTTCTGCTCCAATGGTATCTCTCTCCCTATACCAAGAGATAGTGGAATTGGATTGGCTCTATCTTGGCATTTACCCCATGCTTTTTAGGATTCAGGAGGTTAGAAGAGCCAGCAGGTGTGACTTCCAAAGAAGAATCACTATAAAGCAAGAATTCCACCCCCTCTTTTTTGATTCCCTCAGCCCAACCATGCTTTGCCAGACTCCCCACTCCCCACCCCTTAGTGACTTCTTCTCTCGCCCACCCATTAGCCAACCCCAAGCCTCCTCTCAGGCCTCTTTCATGAGGCATCACAAAGCTTGTCCCTCCTAGTAGCTCCCTTGATTCAGTAGGTGGGGCAACCTCACCCACACAGTGCTGTGGCCAGGTGACACCTGATTCCATCACCAATCATCTTTAGATGAAAGAGGAAACCCCTTAAAAGGAGTGAACTCCTGCACCTTCCTTGGAATCCTAGGGCTGGAAGGGAGAGGCCAGCTGGTCCTTCCCCCTAAACCCTGCCCCCCCCCCACCCCCCCTCCCCCCCCCCCCCCCCCCCCCCCCCCCCCCGGCTAAACTACGCTTAGAAAGTTCCTTTAAAAGACATCAGGGTTGGGGTAAGACTGAAAAAAAACTGGATAAATT